ACCGTACCTAAAGAAGAATTCAAACAGAAGCTGAATTGATATAGACCATAATAATTGCTCAAAGCTGACTTGAAGGGCTTGGCTCAGGTGTGAGGCCACAGTGGGCCCTGGATAATATACACTCTCCCAAAGGCAGCCCTGAACAACTCTGACCTTTCCTTTGGGGCAGAGCCCACGTGGGCAAATTCTTCATGGGACCAGGAGACCAGGCTGCACCCTATAGGCAGGCTGGCACACAAAGCCCAGAGAGGCAAAGGGAAGCATAGTAGCTCTTTTTCCCAAATCCACTCAGAGCAAGTGATCATCCCAAGACTTCCGAGTTCATTCTTTGAGAAGTGCCCCAAAGAAAGACTTAAATGGAACCTGAGGGCAGAGGAAGAGAGTTTTATGCCCAAAACAAACTTTCAATACAAATTTAAATTTGGGGGATTCTCTGGGAAATAATTCACTGTTTCCCTCCCAGCTACTCACATTGCATACCTAGAATACTTCTGACACCAGATGTGCGTGTTTCCCCCTCACCAACCAATTCTCCAACACCAGCTGGGAGTCCTCCAATTCAATTAAATTCTGACACTAATGGGAGTTAATGCAGAACCCAGAGGTTAATGGCTCAGTCTCATGAGACTGTCACCCATTTCAGATGCCAAAGCAAATAGTGGGTGTCCAGTTTCCCCAAAACTTCTGCCAGACTTGGCTACAAGTTAGGGGCTCCCACGACCCCCTGTTGGATTTGATAATTTGCTAGACCAGCTCACAGAATTCAGGGAAACACTGAACATTTACAAGTTTCTTTAAGAACACAGATAAACAGCCAGATGAAGAGATATAATGACGAGGTCTGGGAAGGTCTCAAGTTCAGGAGCTCCTGCCCTTCTGGAGTTAGGGGCAATTGAACCACCTTCCCAGTATATGTTCAATCCAGAAGCACTCTGAATTCCATACTTAACTTCCAGGTAGTCTGCTTGCTTTGTTAAATAGACTAAGATCGTTAACTTTTTTGTATCTTCTTGTAAGTTCTTGGCATGTGTAGGAGGTGAGAGGGGGATGTGAGGCAGGTCAGAATAGTTGTGGTGCAAGTTGGGTAGGTTGAGACCCATCTATATATATATATATAAAAGCCTAAGCAACCAATACGATCGGATGACTGGATAACCAGCCAACCAGCCAGTAGCTATGATGTGTACTGACCATCAGGGGGCAGATGCTCAATGCAGGAGCCGCCCCTTGGTGGTCAGTGGGCTTCCACAGCCAACCTCCCTTGGCTGGCCAACCTCCCATGGTCCCTCCCCCGGATGGCCAGCCTGATTGGGACTTGGCTTGATGGCCTCAATCAACCCTGATCACTGGCCAGGCCAAAGGACCCCACCCATGCAGGAATTCGTGCACCAGGCCTCTAATCAACTATAAAATGTTGCCTAAATACGGTAGTGCTTATGCTAACAACTGCTTCCTGAGTACTTATCCACCCAGGTATAATTGTGTTACCCAATTTAACCCTCCCAACAACCTGCAAGGGAAGTGTGCCCAGCATCACTGATTTAGAGAAGAAGAGACTAAAACTTCCAGGGCTTGTGTTGCTCATCAGGGGTCTGTCTGGCAGTGACGCAAGATTTGACTTGATAGTTCATTCTTCTAACCACTATGATGGTTTGCATCCAGAAGATTTGGTTGGGAAGATGTTTTCTGAAGTATTTCCAAGAGGATTAGACACATAACTCCTGTGGTTTTAGAGCTCGTCAGGACTTTGCAGTCATTCTGGAGACTCCTCTTCTTTTGTATGTGTAGAGACTGGGACCAAGTACAGACATTAAGAAGCTATAAGTAGGACCCAGGCCTCCTAACTTAAAACCACTGCTCTCTTCTCCAGCTTTAGTCAGAATCCAGTTCAAGGGGAAAAAAAGTATTAATCTCTCTGTGTACCTGAAATGGATTATTTCAGAAGAAATGTAAACTAAACCAGAGAGAAACACTTGGGTATTAATTTATAGACTTTTGGGAGACCTTCTTGATCTTCTACCAAGAATACCAAGGATTTCATTACAGTCAGTAAAGAATTATATGAGTGTAGGCCCACCAGGTGTGGCTCAGTGGTTGAGTATGGCTCTGTGAACCAGGAGGTCATGGTTTGATTCCTAGTCGGGGCACATGCCAGGATTAGGGCCTTGATCCCCAGTGTGGGGTGTGCATTAGACAGCCAATCAATGATTCTCTCTCATAATTGATGTATCTATCTCCCCCTCTCCCTTTCTCTCTGAGATCAATAAAAAATATATATTTAAAAGAAAAGAATTATGTGAGTGTAAAAGCACGTATCATTCTACCCCTTTCCAGGCTTTTGAGTTAGTCTCTCCTTCCAATATGAAAGGCTTATTGATAATGGTATATGTCCTACATATAAGGAAGGAAGGCTCAGTTACACTACTTGTGAATACTGCTTTGTTATTTTCAGTTGTTGGTATCACATTATAGAGAAAGTGTCAGAAATATTGTAGTCACAGAACAAATGTGAAAATAATGGCTTGTTAGAACAGAGGTTTGGAGGTAGAAAGGGGAAGCGAGGGAAGTGATAGTGGTGTTGATTTTTACATGAACCCTAAAAGGTTGATTGTATGCTTGAAGACTATAGTTTAAATGTGTTAATTATAGTGACGCCATCCTAAGGCAGTGTAGCAGACCACCTGGGTTTAAGTACTTGCTCTGCCACCTTTAACTTGGCCGATTATTTAACCTTGACTTGGTTTTCTCACCAAAATTGGGGCCAATAGTTTTTGTCTCACAAGGTTGTTCTAAGAATAAAATAAGTTATACATACAAAGTGCTTAGAAGAATGTCTGGTACCTAAAAATCATATCGTGAATATTTTAACTTTTTATTGAATGTTGGTGTGGTATTGGTTAATAAAAGTATATAGGTTTAAAGTGTACCATCATATAATACATCATCTGTGTACTGTATTGTGTTTTCACCACTCTAAGTCAAGTCCCCTTCCCTCACCATTATTTATCCTCCTATTACCCCATGAGTCTCTTCAAACTCTCCCCATGAGTTTTTTTTATGATGCAGCTTTGCTTAAGGAAGACAATAAAAGAACTAAAAATCAATTTTTCAATAATCAGAGATTAGGAAGACGGAGATAGTAGTTTGAGAAAGCTTATTTCCTCATCTTTTAAAATGGGATGAAACTAACTACTGTTTAAGGTAAAGAAATCTAGAAGTTGAGGTGTGACCATATTTATAGTTATGGAAGCGATCCTCAGAATTAAAAATAGGTCCAGTTAAACATGGTTATCACTGAGGAATGAAGCTCAGGGAGTGGAGACTTTCTATTTTGAGTTTTATTGCCATATATGTCCCATTTTGATTTTTTATTAACACAAGTATGCATATTTATACTAACTTTATTACATTGTCATTATCAAATGATAAACTTTTCATATTTAGCACATGCAATTTATTAAGTTTAGATAGGAATACACTTAGGAAATGGCTACCACAATTTAGAAGATAAACATATATATATATAACCTCCTCTCCCCTTAAAAAAAAAAGCCAGGTTTAAGCTTCTTAGTCTAAATAGTCTCAGTTTATGAACTTATGGGCCTAAATAAATCTCTTTGTGCTACAACATCACATAATTCAGAAAACTTTTTTTTACTTCAAGTGTATTTTCATTTAATGATGATACAGAGATGAAATCTTCATGTGCTTATCTATCCTGAGGAAAATCTATACAGCTAATAAGAACCTCTGGTGATTTTTTTAAAATATCTGTTTTCCATAAAACATCCAGTGGTTAGATGATCAGAAATCAGACTTTGGAATGGGGAACACATGATTCAGGTCTTCCTCAGACAATCACCACTATTCACTTTTCTTTTCTTTTTAAATATATCTTACTGATTTTTTTTACAGAGAGGAAGTGAGAGGGGTAGAGAGTTAGAAACATCGATGAGAGAGAAACATCGATCAGCTGCCTCCCGCACACTCACTACTGGATATGTACCTGCAACAAGGTACATGCCCTTGACCGGAATCGAACCTGGTATCCTTCAGTCTGCAGGCCGCCACTCTATTCACTGAGCCAAATCGGTTTCGGCACCACTATTCACTTTTCAAAAGTTTCTTTTCATTCTCTGTATTGTTTCCTCTGTCCTAGGCTTCCCGAATGCATATGCTGCATGTTCAAGTAGTATTCATAGGCTACTGGTACAGGAAGAACATTGCTGAAATTAGTATCCTTAATCAATAAAGCTTGGCTTCCCCTTGCAGGGGCAGCAGCTGGGGCCTCCCCTCCCCATCTCTGGCCCTCCCAGACCAGCCAGCTACCTCTTCCCCCCTGGAGCTGTCCTTATCCAGGCAGCGGAGCCTGGGGTTCAAGAGAGGCATTTTTCTCTTGGTGGAGCAGCCACATCCAGGAGTCAAATTCTGGAGTCCCAAGTGCGAGTTGGAAATATAATTTCTACAGAAACCAGGTTATGATTTCTGGTTATCTAAGTGTCATGATACCATTAACACTGTAGCTGAGCTATGCTCTGGGTCAAATGTGGGAACTTTTGTGGGTTTGGGGTTTGGTTTTATTTCTGTGGGCTGGTTTGGGATGAGAACTGCCCTTTTACATAATTGTTTGTATGGGGTGAATGTATTCAGTATTCCAAACAGACCCACAAATGAACTTTGCAAACACTGCCTGTTCACAATGGCTTGTAATAGCACTTGACAGAAGGGGTTTGTGTTTAAAATAATGTTGTTTGTCTTAGCCTAAGGGCAATAAGTTTCTTCAAACCATAGACTCGCCTGAAAATTATAGGACAAATGTGTTAAGATTGATTTGATGTTGAATGAAACTTTAAAGGGCAAATGTGTTAGGATCGATCTGCTTGGTTTTATGTACAGAATTATGATATTTATTAGGGAATGGGCTGGCGAACTTAATGACATTTTGTACAGGTCAATAGTAATGCGTTTGTGATGATGATGTTCTGTATTTTAACTAACAGGTTTTCAGGAGGCCTGATATAAGGGTAAGAATGTTTGGCAGATGGGCCTCCTACTTGTGTGTCTCTGTGCTTTATTGAACAGTCTATTTAGTGTTCTTTGCCTTCTCACTGGTTTTTATGAGTCACTCCAATCAATTTGCTCTGCTGTGTCATAGCTTTCAGTGTTCACTGGAAACGCTTTATTTGTTAAAATGGTTTTATGTGTAATAATAACCAATGTGTATGAGGGCCGGATGCTAAAATTGTTGCCAGTGTGAAATACTGACTTTTGTTGTGTTACATGAATTCTGACCAAATGGATCTTTGTGGCAGGGGCTTAGAAGGCGGAGTCCTCTTTTAACCTTGTTTAGCATGTAATTCATGCTAAAGAATTTAGCAACAACAACAAAATTGTTAGTTGTCCACCCTATCTAAGTAAGATTTTAAGTCACTTTCATGTCTGCATGCTGAATCCCAAAAGCAGAAGTGCCAATTCTAAAGATAAGTTTAGCAAACACAGATATAACTATTACATCTAGTGGGTTATAGCTTATATTTCTTCATGATTTTCCTTCCCTTTATTTCAGAGTATTCATAAAGCAAGACAAAGATTGGTAATGTGCATGCGTTTAAGCCTGGGTATTAGACGTTGAAAACTAACCTATTTCCATTAAACGAAAACAATGTGGATTTTGATAGAATAATTTAGGGACTCCAGTTTAAAATTCTTAATCTTGTTGAAGCCAATAAGTAGTACAAAAGTAAGCAGATTACATCAAATTCTTATGATTCTAGTTGGTTTATCTTTGTTGAATTTTGTTTTCATCATGTTTTCTTTCACTGTGAGAATCATTGTCTTTCAGTGATTCACATTGTTAAATATTAGTGCGTGGCTTTAAACTTGCATGGACTTTGAAATGCTGTGTGGTTTTTGTTGTTGTCTAGCCATTCATTGTTCCATTTTTAAATTTTTTTGTCAAAGAATGATTCAATTCTCTTTGTATTTAAAAATGGAAAGTTAAAAAAAAAACTGGCTGCATTTAAAAAAATCACTTTTCTTTGAAGGTTAGCAGTACCAATTGTGTACTATATTCCATTTGATATGAAGTATAGAAATGTATTGTGACAATTCTACTTTATTGACAAAAATAAAAGATGAGAAATAGTAAATTCTTTTTAAATCTCTGTTACTTCTTCACTGATTGCCTTTCAAAGAAATATAGTCATTGGAACCAGTTTTATGAAGGAAAAATATATATCTATGCTAAATTTTAATATTTTCAGCCTTAGAGACTTGATACAATAAAAGGTATTATAATTTTGTCATTTTAAGTATTCTGATTTTTATACCATCTGCTGAACTAAATGTCCAATTTTTAAAGTTTCAAAAACTGATTCTATGAAAACATTAAATTAAGAACAGTATACCTTAAAGGGATTGGAAAAATTTAAGTAAAAATATGTGATCTCTCAGCTGTTTCTTTGAAGCATGTTGATACTGTAATTAGAAATATTTAATATGGCATTGATTCATAATTCACAATATTTAGTAATAAGCAATAAGTACCAGATTATATGTATATTTCTAGCATGTGATACGTGCATGAGCATGTTTGTGGAAGTTTTGGTAATACAAGTGGAGTTGATTGCTGGACAATATAATAACTCTTGAGAATATATGAATACTTACTGTGTTTAAAATACATGTCTATGAACTGCCTTTGTATTTTGGCTGGAATTTGCCCTTTACCTGGTTTCTGTGGTGTTCTTTATTTTCCATGAGCATATTACCTCTCTGCTGTTTTGTTCTTTGACTGTACGCTATAGTGCATATTGCTTGATTTTAAAAAGACAGTACATTCCTTGAAATCCATGATGTTTGTTTGCTTTTCATTTTTCTACCCCAACACAAATACAGAATAGATACTCCATTTAGGCTGAGGATGCTATAGATGGCCTACACATTATTTCCTTACCTCCAAGGGGTGAAATGTTGTGATTTACAAAGCCATGAAAGGTGTGTCGACTTGTACATGCTTACTGTCTCTTTAAAAAAGAAGTTCTGTGCTTTCACCTGTCTGTTTGCACGTGTTTCTCTTTCTCCTCTTTGCTTTTTCTTGTCCATGCACCTGGTGCTGTGCAGGAGATTCAGGAAGAACACAATGGCTACCCTTCTGAAGCTGAAGCTGATCAGGTGGCAAGTTCTACATGTTCATCTGTTTGTAGCTACAGAATGTGTATTTAGAAGCCATTTCATACTAGATTTCTAGACAATAAGCAGATGTTTTTACCCCTACAGTAGTGCCCTCCTGCCCAAGTTTGGTAGATTCCATGATGACATCATTTGCAAAAATTGGTTTATCCAACATCTTGTCAACGAGAAACTTGTTCATCCATAGTTCTTGGTTTTCCCACATAGGGTTATTGATGTGCTCATGAGCCTCGGTCACAACAGGATTCTGATGGGCCTTTACAGAGACTTAGAGGGTACAGATGCATATGCTAAGCATGCTCCTTGAGGGTGCAGACTTTGCTCTCTTCAAATGTGCATGGTCCGTGCCCAGCATGGTATCTTGTACCAGGGAGCTGGTGGGCCTTCAGCTGGACCTTCAGGGTCTCCGGAACAGGATTTGGGTGAGATCATCAGAGGAAATTCCTCAACTGGGCAACACTGGGAGTAAAGGCACCAAGAGGAACGGGTGTGTTCATGAAATCAAATTTTGTTCCCAAGAATCTGTTCTTTGATTATGCTTTACATGGGTTGGATAAATCAAGGGTCAAATTATGTCTTGTGCAACTTAGTAGTTGCAACAAAAGCTTAATGTAGCCCAAGTATGAGTCCCATTTCCTAACATCAGCTTGGTAAACTGTACTCACCAAACAATGAGCCTTTAAAAACTATTCTCCTCTTGAATTCCTATCCTAAAGTGAAATGTGCTTCCTGTAAAAAATAAACATTTTACGGGGAAGTCTGCAGCAGGAGGATCATTTATTTTGTTCTGACAGTTGCTTTCTCATTACTTAAAGAGCATGTCCCAGATTTAATTATTATTAGTGAGAGGTTTGTCTCACCAACACAGTTATGCTTCATATAAATGCACAGGTATTTTAAGCCAAATTCAACATGGCTTTCAGAAGAAAAGGGAAATGTTTGATCTTTAACCTCTATCTTGAGAGCCTTGTATATTCTCAAAATGGTCCCAATCACTGCTGTCTCCCATCCACAACATTTTGCTAGGTAGTCCAGGGTTGAGGATTTGAAAGTGTTTGATGTGGCTCCACATAAAGCTCCAATAAGCCACATTTCCCCCATCCTTTCCAGATATGGTTAGATATAGTTAATTAGAACAGCTTGCTTTAGTAAATATATTTCAAAATAACCTATCCTCATTTATTGTAAAATATAAGTTAAGGAATTAAAATCTATATAATATATATAAGATAATATTTAGCCGTTATTATAAGCTTTAACAGTTCAATATTTGAAGTAATACAAAACTTGAATATTGATTAAAATGGCTTTCTTACATTGTAACTATATTATAAAATTATCCTCTAGTTCAAGCAATAAATTAAAGAAGGTGACTTTCAAATAAGGCTTCTGTTAAGGATTTGTGATTTCTTATTGTTTATAAAACTAGACATTTAAAAATATAAGTATTGGTTTATATATTAGTGTGTAAAAGATGTAGTTCTAAATCAGGTGTGGGTATTAAAATGAATCCAAAAACACTTTCTCATGTCCTCTTTAGTAATTCTTTAAGTCCCTAAAATTTTGGACTAAATAGTGTCTTAAAAACCAATCTGGACTAAAAAATTCAAATGAAATTAAGTTGTTTGGAGGTAATCTATATTGTTTTAATCATGCACTTGATAAGGAGGAGGATGGACTTTATTTTGTGCCCTCCCCATAGAATGGACATATCCAGACCAACATTTAGCATTGAATTTGCTCTTTATGTCTTCACCTTTTCCTTTTCTTTAATTTCAAAATTTTGATGAAACTACTATGTATAGAGTTTTTAAATTGAGTCCCTTTAATAAATCATAATGAAATACTCATAACTATGAAACGTAGTTACTTTTAACTTTCAATAATTTTTACTAGAATTAAAAAGTTATCAATATGAACAATAAAAACTTATTTAAAAATAAATAAATAAAAATAAATAAAAAGGCAAAAATGGAAGGAGGGTGACCAGTAAGAGGTTATTGCAGTATCTATGACAGGAAAAATGATGATTTTTTTCATAAGGAAAATAAAAGTGGAAATGAAAGTAAAAAAAAAAAAAAAAAAAAAAAAAAAAAGCTATCAAGTTTTAATGTTTTACTTCACAAAATTATGCTGAAAGCTTGGTATTGTCCAGTCCGTTTTCCTCTGAACACTAGTGGCCTCCTGAGGTTAATATATTTTTCAGGAAAGCAGCTCAGGACCAAATAGGTATGGGAAATGCAGCATACTATAGCGCCCTCTTGCGGATTTGACATACATTAACATGCTAAAGACATCTCACACACAAAGTTTAACTTGTTTTCTTTAATCCTGCATTTCCTAAACTTTTCATACAAAAAAAAAAAAAAAAAAAAAAAAACCTATTCACATCTCTTGGGAATTTAATGCTCTGTGAAACACAGCTTGGGGGTTTCTAGGGTTTTGAACATCTTATTCTTATTCGTGAGATGCCAAGGAGAAAGTTACCAGTTTCCTTGGCAGCATTGCAGGGGGTTGCAGTACCTTGGAATAGGCCCAGAGTTCGGGTTCTGGTCCCCAGCTTTGTAGTTCGAGAGCACCATTTTCTCAAGTTCCCTGAGTTCCCTGGCACTGTCCAACCAAACTCACAAGAGACTGACTACTGGACTTCCGTGCCAATCTGGAGAACTGTGGACATGTACCCACATTTATACTCAAGCATCTTGTAATAGTCATCTCTCCAATACATCCTTTTCCTAGTATTGTAACCAGGAAACACAGTACCTCACTAGCAATTTGCTTGGTGAGCACAAGGGTGAATTTACTTTGACGAAGCCTGATTAGTCTGTTCCACAGTCTTGTCTGCCATATGAGGGCATACTTTCTCGTGGACTGGATGGTACATACACTAACAAGCTGCTGAACTTTGTACACTGAGTGGCCAGATTATTATACATTCACACACACATATACACTGAGTGGCCAGATTATTGTGCGTCCAGAGATTATAATAATCTGGCCACTCAGTGTGCATACACATGGATAGCTGGCTGCAGTACAAAAACTGAGAGCTTTCCTTAGTAATATCACTGCCCTGAGACACCTCCCTGACTACTTTAGACTTCAGGGTTTTCCACATTATCTCATAATCTGGGCCATTTCTACAACTAGCTAAGCACCTATATTTAATTTTGATTTTATTTGAATTCATTTCATGCTCAGAAGATAACTTTTTTTAAACTTTATTTCCAATTTTTGGAGGCACCTTATAATAGCTGTTTGTATTGATTACCGTATGTATCTGTTATGTCAAGCCATTTCTGTATTAATGCTTTCTGTGAACTTTAAATATGTGTAATAATTTGCTAGACTATGCAGCATGGTGTCCTGTGATGCTAAGCTTTGAAGCTGTCTTGTAAGGGGAGGGAGCATACATTCTGCACGCCTCTGTAGCTTTGTAGCGAGAGCACAGAACACCACTGTTATTCCCACATATACAGATGGGAAGTGAGATTTACTCCTGTTTGCTTTTTTTCCCCTAGGCTCTAAGGGATGGGAATAAGCTGGCACAGATGGAAGAAGCACCGCTTTTTCCAGGAGAATCCATCAAGGCCATTGGTAAGTTTAATGTGAACACTTCGCTTATAGTGATCCATAAAGTGACATGGCACTTTCCTAGGAGCAGAGGTGATGGAAATGCTCAAGATCGCCGAAACCAGTTTGGCTCAGTGGTAGAGCGTCAGTCTGCCGACTGAAAGGTCCGGGTTCGATTCCGGTCAAGGGCATGTACCATGGTTGCGGGCACATCCCCGGTGGGGGGTGTGCAGGAGGCGACTGGTTGATGTTTCTCTCTCATCAACGTTTCTGGCTCTCTATCTCTCTCCCTTCTTCTCTGTAAAAAATCAATAAAAAATATATATTTTTTAAATAAAAAAATAAATGCTCAAGATCAGTCAGACCACTTTCTTTAGAGGACAAATGGACTAGGTATTTTCAATCTCATTAATGTCCTTATGACCTTACGAGATAGAAGACTATAGAGAATCACTTTAAACTCTGATTCAATATTCGTTGGCATTACTAACAGAAGAGCACCCCACCCTTTCCTGATGAACTGAAGGCTGATTAGACTTGCTATGTCAGTTCATTGCTTTTTTGGAATCCTTCACTATAAGGAAAATTTATCAAGAAAATACAATTTTGCCAGGACCGGTTTGGCTCAGTGGGTAGAGCGTCGGCCTGTGGACTGAAAGGTCTCGGGTTCAATTCCAGTCAAGGGCATGTACCTTGGTTGTGGGCACATCCCCAGTGGGGGGTGTGCAAGAGGCAGCTGGTCGATGTTTCTCTCTCATCGATGTTTCTAATTTTCTGTCCCTCTCAATTCCTCTCTGTGTAAAATCAATAAAATAAAATAAAAGAAAGAAAAAAAAGAAATGAGACTAATCATTAAAGAAAATACAATTTTAGCGCATGAAAAAGGCATGTGTTGCTATTCTGGATTGTAAGGGCAATGGCCAAAGCTATCACATCCTCCCCCTCCCCCCACTGTGGACTAGCAGGCATTTCAGCAGATAGTCCACTGCGCCAGGGGTGGATGAGAGGACAGCTGGGTGTGACCTTTTCACCTCATAAGAGCTGGATTTGGATAGGACAGTCTGCTTTGCTAGGCTGAGTATTGCCTTCTTCCCTCATGGCTCCCTTCCAAAGATGTGTTGTGTGCTCAGTCTCGGAGTATGGTCATCTTGTATCAACAAGTTCTGAGTAAATGGACTCTCCTACCATGACCTGCAAACAGCCACTCCACTAAATATCCTCTTCAGTGGCTCTGCACGCTGCCAATCCTGTCCTTGGTTTTGGCATTCTTTCTCTCTTTGGCTTCTGGTACTTCATTCACTCATGGTAGTCCTCTGGCCTCTCTGGCTGCTATTTCTCTGAGAATTCTTCTAGCTCTGCCTCCAAGCTGCTTTGGGAATGATCTGTTTAAAATGCAGAGCTAATTATGTCATGCCTCTGCTTCTTTTCCTGACAGCAGACTACACAGATTTAAAGTGAACATGAAGAGTTTTGACACATTATACACCTGGGAAACCATCATCACATTCAAGATAATGAACATATCCTTCATCTCTCAGCAGTTTCCGTAGGCTTCCTTATAAATCCTCGCTCCCATGGCTTCTCCCCATTCCCAAGCACTATGGTCTACATTATATTTTCTAGAGTTTTTTAGAAATATAATTATTAAGTATATTCTTCTTGTTTAGCTTCTACTCAGCATCATTTATTCATACTGTGATAGGGGCTAACAGTTATTCCTTTTTATTGCTGAATAGTATTCCATTGGATGGATGCACCACAGTTTGCTTATCCCTATGGACATTTGGGTTGTTTCTACATGGTTGGCTATTACCAATAAAGCTGCTGTGAACATTTACAAACAAGTCTCCTCTTACCTCATGTCCTATCAGCCTCATGTACTCTTTGATCCAGCAACTGACTGCTTTTTCTTTTCTCCTTCCCCCTTCCCTCCCCACCCCACCCCCGCTTCCTTGTCAACTTAAGTTTATCCTTTTCTGAGCTCTCATCACATAGTTTCCACATGATTGTGATAGCATTTATCAGGCCATGGTATAATGGTCATTTTATGTGTAGTGTCGCTCAGAGGCCACTGGCTGCTTGCGGGCAGGAACTAGAACCCCAATAATAGAAGCCACTCCGTACATAATAAGTTATAGAAAACTTTAATGGAAGTGTTTGTCTGGATGACAACTTTTGTACCTTTAATTGATCCAGTTGGACTCATCTGTAGCTATGTACATTCCTGTCATTCCAATGGAATGATGCTTTGGGAAAATCGTGTAGGTGTGGTATCTTTGTCATAGGCGTGAGGTTCTTAACACACATAGGAATCAATACGCTGTTGATACCGTATTAAACATGCTGATGTTGATATTTTAAATATGAAAATAAAAGTCTATATGAAAGCTATAAGGAATTTGAAGCAAAGAGTTATTTTTTCCAGTCCATTGATGTGGTTTGGTTTTTGTCATCTGTAAAGCAGTTGCTTTTAGGAAGTGGCATTAGCGGCTAGTTTTTAGCTTTAGTTTTCATTAGCAGTAATTTATTAACTGGCAGCCCACTGTCTTCAGAGTTTAATTAATATGTTTTGATGTGATTAATTTATCACGTAGAGAAAGAAGTTAACCACCTGGGAAAAAATGACAAAATGTAGCTTATTATTAAGCTCTTCACTTAAAACCTCATTATGTACCAAAATGGAATTTTGTTTGACAAAAAGGAATTTTATTAGAAGACTATCCATGTTCATTTAAAGTAATAAAAAATTCATAAATTATTGAAGCACAAGTCTATGGCAGTAGTTGCTACTTTGAGTTTTTCCTTTCAGTGAAAGATGTCATGTATATCTGCCCATTTATGGGAGCTGTGAGTGGAACGCTGACTGTGACGGACTTTAAGATGTACTTCAAAAATGTAGAGAGGGTGAGTTTTTAAAAGTGTGTTTTATTTAAAAAAAACAAAACACTTTAGAAGTGAGTAAACAATAAAGAAGAAAGGAAGAAGTGCCCTGATATCCCATCACCCTGAGAGAACCAGGTGAGTTTTAAGATGTGCACATTGACAACCAGATTTTGTATCTTGAGAAAAAGGCATTAAAGTAGTAGCACTTATACCCGGAGGGGAAGTTTGTCATCTCAACATCTTTAGAAAACATGTTATAAATCTGACTTCAGTTTTTAGCTGGGGCAAAGAGGAAATGTGCAGTAAACAAATAAGTTTTAAGCCAGGGAAGACTTAAAATATGAAAACTCTGTTGGCTGACACTAATAGGCATCCATTTTAACTTGTAAACTCAGGATCCACATTTTATCCTGGACGTTCCCCTGGGAGTGATCAGCAGAGTTGAGAAGATTGGAGCACAGAGCCATGGGGACAATTCTTGTGGTATAGAGATAGTGTGCAAGGTATGGTACCAACACTAGTAAGACTGCAAGAGGCAGTCAGCTGGGAACTTTTTCTGACACAATTTTCCTGTTCTTTGGACAGTCACAGTAGTTTGTACTGTTAGTAACTCAAATGTTTTAGGACAGAAACCTCTTTAAATCTTGTATCAACCAATTCATACCTTTATGGAAGCCATTGAAGTAAACCTCTTCTTCTCTATTGAAGTATTCTAATTAGCATGGACCTGTTATCTACATGCTGATATTATTTGTTACATTTCAGAAAAATCAAGCGGAAAGCAGAGATCCATATTTTCCCAGTTTGTTGTTTTAAGACTTATCTTCAGAACAATGAATGGTCAAAAACTTCTTAAAGGGGCAATAGTACAGTGAACACCAAGCAATGTGGGACTTAGAGGCACCAACTGCCTGCACAGTCGAAAATCCTCATATAACTTTTAAAAAAAATATATGTTTTTATTGATTTTTAGAGAGAGAGGAAGGGAGAGGGAGAAGGAGAGGAAGAGAGAGAGAGGGAGGGAGGGAGGGAGAGAGAAAGAGAGAGCGAGAGAGAAGAAGAGAGAGAGAAACATTAATGATGAGAATCATCTATTGGTTGCTTCCTGCACGCCCTCTACTGGGAATGGAGCCTGCAACCCAGGCATGTGCCCTGACTGGGATTCGAACAGTGACCTCCTGGTTCTTAGGTTGATACCCAACCACTGAGCAGGCTGGCCAGACAGTAAGTCTCTCTTCACCCAGCATTCCAGCCATCCTGTTACAGTACCTGCAGGCACCCACTGTTAGCAGTTTCCACAGATACCCTCTGCACGTAAGATGTATGTATAATCTTTGAAAACATTCTGCCCTTCCCATTCCCCCTTAACAACGTATCTCAGAGCTCCTCAACATCAATACATAGCGAGCTGTGTCTTGTTTTTAACAGCTCTGTAGTATTCCATTACATTGTAGTCAACCTCTATTGACAGACATTTAGGTTATTTCCATATCACAACAATAACTTCCTCATTTCCAAATTTACCTCAAATTTGTTCGTGGCCATAATTATTTTTGAATTTCAAATAATGTTAAAAAATAGTGATATTTTTGTGTTTACCAGCAGTGGTTTTAGAAGATTGAGGGTGGGGGGTGCTGCTCAAACCAGTTCTGGGAAGAAATTGCCTCAGCTGGGCCACCTCATAGGAATTGTTCCTCCCCACATTCACTTGAGCTTTTGGACAGCACCTTGCACGGTGGGGCATTTTAAGAAACTGATCTTAAGAAAGAGCACTATCATTTTTGTAAGGAAGTCACTGAGGGCAATAGTCTCTCTATGACAGAGTCCTTGCTCTGAGTCCTGGGAAGGAACCTCTGTCACATTTCTATTTTATGGAGGGTGTAAGATCTATAATTGATTCTTTCAATAATTTAAAGTTTACCATTGATTGTGTGTCTCATATCTTTAGGAAGTAAATGCACAGGTCTTGATGTTCTAACTTTGTTCTTGATTCCATTTGAAGAGTTTTTTTCACCATCACATGTCCTCTGTTCCAGTTTTCTCACTTAATTTTTACACTGGGCCTGACCTGTGTGGCTCAGTGGTTGAGTGTTGCCCCATGAACCAGGCGATCACAGTTTGATTCCCACTCAGGGCATATGCCCAGGTTTGGGGCTCGATCCCCAGTAGGAGGCATGCAGGAGGCAGCCAATGAATGGTTCTCTCTCATCATTGATGTTTCTATCTCTCTCTCCCTTCCTCTCTCTGACGTCAATAAAAACATATTTTTTAAAAAGGAAAAAAATCTTGTTGGAGGTGTTTTTGTTAATTGCCTTTTGTTAGTTGGATCAAGATAAAGTATAACATGAGAAATGAACAGAAATATTTTATTTATCTCATAGCATGGTTCTGACTAATCGGTACTCAATACACATTGAATAAATGAGCTTTGCTAATTGTTTAACAGGATATGAGAAACTTGCGACTTGCTTATAAACAAGAAGAACAGAGTAAACTAGGAATATTTGAAAACCTCAGTAAACATGCATTTCCTCTTTCCAACGGGCAGGTAAGTACACTAAAATAAACCTTTTTGCACACCTTTGTGGCGGTCCAAAATTTCATGCTTAATTATTCCCTTTTTCAGAGGTTGCCTTTATCTGTTTTCTCTCTGTTGAAACTAATATTAGAATATTTAAAATTCAGTAGTTCTGTGACATGATAAGAAAGCTGTGTATTTGGAGCTTCAACATTTGCAAATTAAAAGAGGAATCTTAATACATTCAGCTTATAACTGAATGAAAAGCTTTAATAATGGATATATGACATAGCAAAGAAATGCTGATATGTATTTTGTGTGTTTTTTTCCCCAGACACTCTTTGCATTTAACTATAAAGAAAAATTTCCAGTTAATGGATGGAAAGTTTATGATCCAGTGGCTGAATATAAAAGACAGGTAAAGTATGTTGCTTATCAAAACTAAAAAATGGGTTAAACATCTTTTTCTCTTCTAAAAGGTTAGAAATGTTGTGGAAAAGAAACCTTTTGAAACAAACTGTATATAGACATAATTTACCTAGCTTGTAGGTTCTTCATCTTTGTGATGTCCTGTTCCCCCTGTGGTATACCTTTGACTATGCCACATCCCTTTTCCAGAGACAAGTGGAATACAAGAACTGGGGTTTAAAAAGAAAATTGACCAGATGGTTTTTATTAGATACTAGAGGCTTAGTACATGAAATAGGTGCACAAAATTCATGCATGGGATGGGGAGGATCCTCTCATCCTGGCCTGCACCCTCTCACAATCCGGGACCCCTTGGGGGATGTCTGACTTCACTGTGGGATCAGGCCTAAACAGGCAGTCAGACATCCCTCTCATAATCTGGGACTACTGGCTCCTAACTGCTCACCTGCCTGCCTGATCACCCCTAACCATTCATCTGCCTGCCTGACTACTCCTAACCACTCCTGCCTGTTTGCCTGATTGCCCCTAACTGCTTTGCCTGCCTGCCTTGTTGCTGCCTACCTGCCTGATCACTTCTAACCACTCTGCCTGCCTGATCATTCCTAACCACTTGCCTGCCTGCCTGATTGCCCCTAACCACTTGCATGCCTGCCTGATCATTCCTAACCGCTTGCCTGCCTTCCTGATCACCCCTAACCACTCACCTGCCTGCCTGATCACCCCTAACCACCTCTGCCTCAGCCCTCGCTGCCACGGTTTCATCTGGAAGGACATCCAGAATGATGTCCGGAAAAACGTTCAGCTGTCTAATCTAATTAGCATTTTATACTTTTATTATTATAGATTCTCATAATGAATTGATGAGTAAGGATTAAAACCAATGGTTTAAATTATATTTTAAATGTATGACATGACTACATCACTCTGTTATGGTATTTCTCTACCAGTAACTAGTGCATTGTCAGTTTCAAGATGTTCCAAGAAGATTACTTCATGATATTTAATCTTTGTCTCCACTTTATATTTGGTATGGTGATATGTATTACTTATTTTAGACATTGGTAAGAAATTTCTGTCTCCAAAGGACTTTCACAAGTATTTTTGAAGACAACACTATGCTCATTCTTTATAAAAACACTACAAGAAATGTATAGGACTGGGATTCTAGTATATAATTTTAATTTTTTTTAGCATGCTTGGAAATTATTATGCTTCATTACATTTTAAATGGGTAAGCAATGGGTCATATTAGATAAATATATATATTTAAACTTTTAATTAGCACTGAACAAATTATGAACAGATTTTAGCACAAAATAAGAAATGGATATGGTTCATGCTTAGTACTTTTCAAAAGTGTAAAAGTATGCTTTCCCCCTCTTCTTTCTTCTTTAACACCCTACAGGGCTTGCCAAATGAGAGTTGGAAAATAGCCAAAGTAAACAGTAATTATGAGCTCTGTGACACTTACCCTGCCATCATTGTTGTGCCAACTAATGTAAAAGATGATGACCTTGCAAAAGTAGCAGCCTTTCGAGCAAAAGGCAGAGTCCCTGTAAGTAATAAACATTGTCATTTAGGTATAAACATATTGTATTAGATCTAATATGGGAAGAGAATAGAAAAACATCTAGTGAACCAGATGCAAAGTAGAAAAATAAGTCTAAAAATCTGAACACATCTTTGATTCTCAGGAACTACCTAATTATGTTTGCTGATTGCCTCATATGACTTCACATTACTAAGTACAAGGGTAATTTCAGTTTAGTTCACAAAATGTAGAACATATAACAGATAGCAAGAAAGAGTTAACATGCTACTGCTTTAATGGTTTGTGTCTCTGGTTTCATCATTTCATTTCAGAGAAATACACTCTTTCTTGGATGCTGAGTGTAAGGCTGCAGCTGCATGGGAGGGACACCATTATGAAAAGAAACAGGAGTCAGCAGGGGATGAGTTTTTTAAATAGCTTTATTGAGGATTAATTGATATACAAACACATGGCACATGTTTAATGTATAAAATGTGATGAGTTTAGACATGCATACCCCCATGATACTGTCACCACAACCCAGGAGGTAGTGAACATTTTTGAGCCTAGACTTTGCAGTCTGATACAATCCTGATTCTCTTGGCCACAGGAGGTTTAGGGATATAGCTTTAGATTTTATGAGAGACTGTATATTCACTTTGTCCTTTTCTTGCCACATATATCATTGTTGAGATACAAAGCTGTTTTTCAATTAGGAGACAAAATAAAACTGGTCAATCAAATAGGAATGGGGCTTGATGTTAGTAACCTTTTCACTTATTTTCTGCTTTTCTTAGAATCATAGAAGTTTAGATGTGGAAGGGGATTTTTAGAGCTCATCTAGTCAGACTTCTCTTATCCTGACCCAAACATTGCATCTCATAGCCACTATTGTTGCTGTGGTTTGCCTGACCTCTCCACTTTGAGGAAAATATACAGAAGAAGCTGTGCTTGAGAAGAGAACTTGTTTTTACTATGTGGTATTTAGAGAGCATACTGTTTTAGGAACTGTACTCATATTTGTTACTTACACACGCTAGGTGTTGTCATGGATTCATCCAGAAAGTCAGGCAACAATCACTCGGTGCAGCCAGCCACTTGTGGGTCCCAGTGATAAACGCTGCAAAGAAGATGAAAAATACTTGCAGACAATAATGGATGCTAATGCACAATCTCACAAACTTATCATCTTTGATGCCCGGCAAATCAGTGTCGCCGATACCAACAAGGTACATTCTTGATGACATTGCAGAACCAGTCTTGTCTCATATACTGTCTGTAAATTGTTATGCAGTTCAAATAGCCATTGACTTCCTCTCCACCTGAAGGTGTAATCTTTCCAAATAGCCCATAGCTTTCACTCCCTGTGGATGTCTCATGTGAGTTGGGATCTTGTCTCTCTTATTGTTCCCCCACAATCCTGTCTGCTGAGTTAATTAAGCAAAGACCCAGAAAGAGAATTACCACCAAAAGAAATAAGTATCTTAATGAAATGATTGTAAGGCCCTTGGAAGTCCCTTTAATCTTGGAAATATGGTAATTGCTTAACTAATTCATGTCTGGTCTGAAGGCCTATTAGAATGGAGTCAAATATGGGAAACTAGGGAAATACACTGAGTGGCCAGATTTGATCTCTGAATGCATAATAATCTGGCCACTCAGTGTATATCCTATATAATAAAAGGCTAATATACAAATTGTCCCCTCAACCAGGAGTTTGACCAGCAGGCAGGCCAGCCAACCACCCATGTCCCCTCCCCCTGGCCAAGCTGGCCGGACCCCATCCATGCACGAATTCATGCACCAGGCCTCTAATATAAACACACACATACACACACACACACACACACACACACACACACACACACACACTGAGTGGCCAGATTATTATGTGTTCAGAGATGATAATAAACTGGCCACTCAGTATATAAAAGTTTCCATATATCACATGGAGCAGTAGCATCTGCAGACCACTCCATTTGATTCCCAGTAGCTGAAGGGGACAGGATCCTTCAATAGCTATGAAATCAAGCCTCCAGTACCCACTATCCAAATAGAAAAGGCTCTGACCTGAGTCATTTCTACTTCCCATGGTTGACTTTCCAGCAATGTGTTACTACAGATAGGTATTTGGCAGTCAGAGGGCTTGGCCCCTTCCACAAATAATTTCAGGTATCAGGAAGGTGGTAATAGCCCTTACCATCTCATGTCATTTTGGCAACAAACATGTAATAAGCACTTACTAGGAGGAAATACCACAACAGACCAGGCGAGGCGCTGTTTACAGGTATCAATTCATTATGCTGGGGGAACCAGGAGAGGGAATGGCCAGGCCTGATTGTGAAGCTGGGCAAGGCGTCATGAAGGAGGCACCATTTGAGCTGACTTTGGATGGTTAGTGGGAGGAGACAAGCAGGGCATTCTAGAGAACACATGTACCTACTCAACCATATGCCAGAGCACGCCATTCACAAGAGTGGCAAGAAGGAAGATGTCTGAGAGCATGGTAATGACCCCTCATGTTCTCCTCAGCAGTGCTTAGGGAGGTCTTTGTTTTTTTGGGCAACTTGAACCTCTTCTTGATTATTTTGTTGACTACAACCTCCAAAAAACCACCCTCCCATTTCCCCCCATCTCACTCTGGAGAGAAGCCATTACCTTCTATTATACTTCAAGGAGCAAATGTGCCATCAGATACTCCATTTTCCTTAAGCACTGGAGTGCCTTCTATGGGCCAGGCATTTGCTAGGTATTGGGAGAGACACGCTGAACAAGTAGTTGCAGCAACTGCCAAGTGGTTATCCTCGGAGATATGGAGGAACATGAAATATGCTCCGAGAGAGCATAGAAGGAAACTGGTTATTTGCTATATGACTTCATCTTTCTGCACCATGATCGCCTAGTCTCTAAAGAGGCAGTGACAGTAAACCTGCTTCTTGGAGTGGATGTAAGACAACTGTAAAGAGCCTAGGATACTACCCATCCCTGTGAGAAAGCATTCGGTTCAATTTAGCTGTCATTGTTACTGACCTCAGGGTGTAACTGCTCCATTCTCTTAACTTTTATGACATTCACACCCTGGATTTCTGTCTCCAGCCTGCCTGGGTTGGTCTTCTTCACTGGTTCCTCTTCCTCTTCCCGACCTGCAAATGGCAATGCTCCTCAAACTCACCCTGGGATCCTCTTTTCAACTTTATGCAGTCTCCTCCTATGCCAGTGGTTCTCAACCTTTTTAATGCCGTGACCCTTTAATACAATTCTTCATGTTGTGGTGACCGCCAACCATTAAATTATTTTCGTTGCTACTTCATAACTGTAAGTGTGCTACTGTTATGAATCATAATGTAAATATCTGTGTTTTCCAATGGTCTCAGATGGTTGAGAACCACTGCTGTAGAGCCTAAGACCATCGGAAAACACAGATATTTACATTACGATTCATAACAGCAGCAAAATTTAAAACTCTATATGCTGAGTTTCATGCCTAAGACAGAGCACTAAGTTAAGTATACAATTTTACCTATATGTTCCCCAAAATTCTAGTTTAGCACTTCTTAGTTGGGATTCAGGAATCTGTATTTTAACAACTCCACCAGGTGATTCTTATCATGAGAGAAGTTTGGGAAACACTGATGTAGAGCCCTGAGCCATTTACCTCACCTCTTCATAAGCCTCAGGTTCCTCTTCTATGAAATGGGAGATAACAGTACCTCGTGTAGAGGGCTGTGTAAGGATTAAAATTAAGTGAGAAGAATGCATGTAAAGGACTCAGCACCATGCAGGGTACATCCTCGGTACATGATGTTGATAAGCTCACTGCCTCAGGTGTCTGGCCTGGGGAGTGATGAGTGGTATCGACTACTGAGATGGGAAAGACTGCAAGAGGAACAGGGTGGGCATGGAGATGAGCAGTACCTGAGTTTCCTGAGGCAGCTGTACAAATTACCACACACTTGGCACCTTAACACAAATTTATTCCCTCATGGTTTTGGAGGCCAGAAGTCTGAAATCTGTCAGAGTTGTGTTCCCTTAAAAGGGCTTCAGGGGATCATCTTTCCTTGCCTCTTGCAGATCCTGCTGGCTCTTCTGTGCATGTAGCCACAGCACACCAATCTCTGCCTCCGTGTCTTCACATGGCCTTCTGCCCTGTGTATGTGTCCTCTCCTCCTTTCTTCTAAGGATACTTAACTTGTGATGACATTTACAGCCCACCCAAGATAATCCAGGATTTCTCCTCATCCAAAGGTCCTTAACGTAATCACATCTGCAAATACCCCCTTTTCACAAAAAGGTCATGCTCACAGTTGCCAGGGATTTGATGTGCATACCTTAGTCAGTTCCTCTTGCTACCCACATCTGGTGGATCATTAACCCTTGTCAGTCTTCCTGTGTCTCTGACTTCTTGTCACCACTGGAATACTCTCTCAAATACATAAAACCCAAGATGAAAGCTGTATTCACAGAGGCGATCTTCTAAACATCCAACAGAGCAAGGGTAGTTCATTGTGTTTCATCCAGTATGGAAAAGATAGAATCAGGACACCATGGCTGATATAACATATCAATATATATATATATATATATATATATATATATATATATATATATATAACTGAACAACTGGTTGACCAGTCACTATGATGCTCACTGTCCACCAGGAGACAGATGCTCCAGGCACAGGATCGGCTCCCTCCTATCTGGATCAGGCCTTCGGGGATTGGGTTCCTTCCTGTCTGGATTGGGCCTGTGGGGATTGGGCTGAAACGAGCTATCTGACATCCCCCGAGGGGTCCCAGACTTTGAGAAGGCCCAGGCCCCGCTGAGAGACCCCACTGGTGCACAAATTCATGCACCAGGCCTCTAGTAAACAAATATTTACTTCTCACAATTTTGGAGGCTGGAATTCCAGAATCATCGTGCCAGCAGATCCTGTATATGGTGAAGACCTATTTCCTGGCTTCTAGATAGCCACCTTCTTGCTGTGTCCTCACACATCTGAGAGCAGAAAGAGGCCAGCTCTCTGGTGTCTTCTATAAGTAAGGTGACCAGACGTCCCGCTTTTGGCGGGACAGTCCCGATTTCTAAATTTGTCCCGTGTCCTGCGGCGTTTTTAAAAAGTGAAGCCAGTCAATGAAAGAGAGACACCACATGACCTCACTTATTTATGGATGATAAAGAACATTATAAACTGAAGAACCAAAAGATAGATATAGAGACAGTAAAGCAACAAGCAGACTGTCAAATTACAGCGGGGAGGTTGGGGAGATAAGAAATCAACTGAAGGATTTGTATACATGCATACAAGTACAACCAATGGACACAAAACTCTGGGGAGGGATGGTATGTACGGGAGAGGGGGGGCATTGGTATATGTATAAAAATAATAATTTAATAAAAAAATATATTTTAAAAAAAGTCCCGATTTTGGGGGAAAAAAAATAGCCACATGGCCGCAGAAAACCATATATTCCCTTCCCTTTCTCCCGCTGTTCCCTAGGTTGTCATGCATTCTTTCAAAAAACCAGGACTTTTTTAAAATGCCATGGGACACGGGACAAATTGTTAGAAATCGGAACTGTCCCACCAAAAGCGGGACGTCTGGTCACCTTACCTATAAGGTTTCTAATCTAACCTCAACACCTAATCCCCTCCCAAAGGCCCCACCTCCTAGTACCATCACTTTGTGGGGTGGGATTTCAACATAAGAATTTTTCAGGGACAGAATCATGCAGTCCATCATGAATAGTGTGGATTTCTGAGTCTGGGCACATGGGAATCTTACCCTGGCAGTTTATCCCTTTGGCCCTTAGGAGTTGACTGCCCTCACCTGGGAGTCCTCCCTGCTACTGAGGATTGGCATGCTAATGGGTGGAGAGTGTGGCACACCTTCAACAGCACTGAATAGCTGTTTGAAATTGAGGAAATCTGAGTACAACCTTCAGCTGGTTGCCGGTATTCAGGTTTCCTATTCCCAAAAGTGTTGGTATGGCCCTATCTCGGCTGCTATCAGCTTATTCTTGCAGACTTGGGGGCTGGTCTGTAACAGTGCCCCAGTGTCACTAGCTCCTATTCAGAGCCCTGCTTGCCCCCATAGAAAGAGGTCTGGCCAGCAAGTTATTGTCTTCCAGAACTCTCTTCTGACACTCTCCCTGTTCCAGCTGGGAGTATAGGTAGAGGCGCTTCTCACCCTCTTTCCTCTTCTTCTGTCTGTCCTCCAGCTGTCTGTCCT